TTGATCAGGGACCTGGGATCTCACACTCCTCCTGGAACAACCAACTTGTCCAGCAGATCCATCTAATGGCAATGGATACCAGTGGGAACTTGTGTACGTGTTTTCAACCTCACTTGTGAGTCCTCCCAACATCCTCCCAGCCAAGGCAAATCTCAAGTCCAAGCCCAGAACCAGAGTGGGAAGGTGTCACAAAGTTGCAAATTCATGGTGTGGGTGGGAAGAGGGTATGACTAAAATACTAGTAAACTTACTTCATAAAGCATCTAATAAAATGACTCATCACCATTATTACCTATGAGGGGTGATTGAAAATTATGGTGCATGCTTAAATTCAGCAAGATTATTAGAGTGAATTAATCTCCTTCAAAATACTCCCCCTCGTTGGAATGCTCTTAACACATCATTCTTACTGGCTTCAGAAGCAGTTCTGGAAGTCCCCTTTTGGGAATGGTTTCAGTCGTGCTGTCATGGCTGCCTCGGTATCTGAAGTGATTCAAAATACTTACCTTTCATGATAATTTTCACTTTAGGGAAGAGCTAGAAATTGCGTGGTACCAGATCCAGTCAATAAGGTGGATAAGGACACAAAGTAATGTGTTTGTTCATTTTCAATTTTTCGTTTGTATTAATGCACATTTGCGGCATATTCCATGATCGCAGTCCATGTGGGTGGTTGGTACGTGTATATACGATGTCTTAATTCTTTTTTTAATCTCCTTTCTTTCCCTTCCTTCTCCCCTCCCCCATCTCTTAGTCTCCTTCCCTTTTGCAAAAAATCTATATCCTTTTTTTCCTATTACCTGTCTTTTATCTTACTCTTTATATTTTTGTTTTCTCTTATAAGAAAAGCCATGCAATGCTTAAGCTTGTGTGTATGACTTATTTCACTTACATTTTGGTCTCAAAATGCAGCCATTTTCATGACTCAAGCTTATCCTCCTTTATGGCAGAGTAGAACTCCATTGTGTATGAATACCATATTTTCCTTTTCCATTCACCTGTTGATGGACATATAGGCCACTTCCAGGATTTATATATTATTATAAATTGTGCTGTTACAAGCATTAGTATGCATGCATCTTTGTAATATGATGGGGAAGATACTTAGAAAGGGACAAGTTGGGTGGAATGGAATTTCTATTTTTACTTTTTTAATGAACCTCCATATGGAGTTCCATATTGGCTGTACTAGTTTACATCTCCAACAATGTAGAAGGGTTACTTTTTCGCTGCTGCCTTATAAGCATTTCTTTGTATTTGATTTTTTTTAAGGTAGATATTCTTTCTCGAGTGAGATGGAATCTCAGTGTTGTTTTAATTTCCATTCCTCTAATGGCCAGAAATGTTAAATATTTTTCATGTGTTTATTGGCCATTTGTACTTTTCTGAGATGTGTCTCTTGTGAATCTGTCTTTACTTTGGATGGCACTCAGCAACAGTATTCTCTGGACAGTATTTTTTATACTTCGTGAAAGCAATCTTCCAGAGTTTTTCAGAAAGTGTCACAGACAATGAAGTAAGCGTGTTCAAATTGAGATGGAGGAGTGTTTTGAGGGGGATTTGTATCCACATATCCCTAAAGCCAGAAACTAGTGATTTGTTGTACATCTGTTCCTTCACTTTGCACATCACAGGGATCATAACATATGGATGTCTTCCTTTTGTTAACCTTCTAATATTTTTAGAACCATCCACTTTTAAAATATTTCTTTATCTTACCCAAGCTTGAAGATGTTTTAGAATTTACAAAAATTACTCAGGTACTGTTACATCTTCCCTTTCTCTCTTTGTAAAAGCCAAAACATGAAAATAATCTATCTAAAGTAAAACTCAGGTTTGCATTTCCTCAAGGCCTCTCTAACATGTCTTGGGAAAGAAAGCAGGCAGGCAGGCAGGAAGGAAGTGAGGATAGAAGAAAGAAAGTAAGGAAGGGAGGGGAGGAGGGAGGAAGGAAATCAGGGAGGGGAAAAGGAAGAAGGAAAGAAGAAAGGAAGGGTTGGAGGGAGAACTAAACTATCTAGCACGTATCACTTTCAGTAGGCTCCTAAAGTCTTCATCATCTTCCTACAATCTTGTCATCACTATCCTCCAGTTAGTACCCCAGTTGCATATTTTTGGATTAAATCTGCACTTGTGTTTTATATTTCTATTTTTGAGCATACTTCTTTCTGGACACAGTTGTATCTACTTTTCACTCTCTTTTTCTACCCTGCAGGACACCTTTTACTTTCATGTCATAAATCATCTTCCTAAAAAGATTTCTTGGCCCCTTGAAGGTTCTTAGGGTCAAATTTTTTTTTTTTTAATCTTCAATATCCTGCCTAAGTCAAAGCTCTCAGCAACATCTGATACAACAAAGCCCTGGGAATCTTTTATCATGTTGCAGTTGCTATGCTGAACTGCTCGGCATGACCTGGTGGTGAGGGAATAAGTTCACAAATGTCAAATTACGGTCCTAGGAATCCAGCGCTGAATTCTTTCATATGAAAAATCATCAAATTTCTTACTTGCAAACATTATGAATTAGGCCTGCTATGGGTCTGCTTTTCATGTTCTCTGTGGGGAGAAGGATAAAAGAAGGTCAGTGGGGAAATGCTTTTATGCAACTTACCTTTGAGTCCATTATGATATTTTTCTTTACTGGGCAGGAAAAAATTGGGGGAATAATTTTCAAAAAATAAGAAGTGAAATTTAGGTAACTGCCCCAAACTCACTCCACAGTACATTTACATTACCAAGTTTTCGCATCACTTGTGATAATCATTCAAGAATGGTGCTTTTAAAAATGGAAAGAACATGTCCTTCCTGGTAGATAGTTGCTTATAATAAAATGAACTTCTTATGCTTTTTTAGTGATTACATTTATATTCCACTAAAAGTGCTTTTTCTTCTCCCAGTAGAATATTAGTTAATAAATGTCCTTTTAGGATTATATTCACTAGTTTAATTATTATTCTTCCCTGATCTTATATGTAACTTAATCACTTTAAGCTATAGGATTCTTCTTTTTATTATAATATAATACTACTCAATTCCTTAAACTCATACTAATTTTATGAGGATTATCAGAAGATAAATATTAATAATAATACATTCATTTGGCTTTATGTTTTACAAAGGACTTTCATCTACCTTGTCTCATTTGATGGGACATTTTTTTTCCTTGCATTGTCTCAAGTAGTAATTTGGACATTTTTAGAAATTCTGAAAATAAAATCAAAATCATTTATTATAGTCAATAAATGAGAAAGAAGCTAAACAATGTCATATATTTGTGACATAAACTAGTAAAGAAAACATAAGTAAAATTAATGAGGACAAATAGGTAAAGATTTTATCATTTAGATTTGAACCCAGTTGAAATATTTGGAAAAATAACCCAAACATGCAGACAATCAAAAGAAGGCAAAATTATAGTGGTGTGCACTTTACAACCTAAAAATAATCTAGTTTAATTAGGTGAACCATCGAGGGTAATGAAATATCTGATAAAGATGCTAAATACAGGAAAGAATGAATGAGCATGGAAAATTGCTCATAAGGCTTAACATTGATGCAATAATTGTGGTAAGAAAATGAAGTATGAAATGAAAATATGTATGATAATCATAGAAATATTCCTGTCTTTTATTCCTCACTTCTTCCAATTTAAGCTAAAGCAGTAATGGAGACATGTATAGCAGTCTATATGTTAGATGTTTACCACATTGTTACCTCTAAATGGGAAGTAGTGAGAAATACAAAATTTCAGTATTATGAATCATTATGATACATCTTTCTGGTAAAATATAATACACAGGAAAATTTTCTCATAGATATTACTGTATAGTTCCAAAGAAAAATATCAACATATAGCCAAGGATTTAGCTCAGTGGTTCCGCCACCTACCTGCCTCGAAAGAGGAAGGACCTGAGTTCAATCCTCAGTACCAAAAAAAAAAAAAAAAAAAAGAAAAAGAAAAATATCAACATATAATGAGTAGTGATAAAACAAAAATTACACTGTTATGGAAAATTTCAAGTCTTGTGCAGTTACAGATAAAGATAATGTCATTCATGCAGACAACAATATTTAAATTTGGGTGATTGATTTCTGAGTAACATAAATCACATAATTTTTATTTTTATGTGATAAATCATCTGTAATAAAGTTGATCCTCAATTTATGATGGGAATACACTCCAATAAAACCACTGCAATTTGAAAGTATTATGTTCAAAATTCACTTAGCAAGTGTACCCACTATCAGAGCTTAATAGTACAGAGCATTTTAGAGTGTAGGATGTCAGGCCACATGGCTAACCAGGGGCTGCAGCTCGCTGCCTGTGACCGACAACACAAGTGAGGACTGCCCTCTATATCATACATCGAGGAAAAGATCACAATTCAGAATTCAAATGCTGTTCCTACTAAATGCATGTCCCTTTCACAACATCATAAAGTTCAAAAATTTTAAGTCCAACAATTGGGCAGACTTGGTGTGTATGTGTGTGTGTGTGTGTGTAAAACTAAACAAAGGTATAGAATGGAGAGCAAAAGTATCAAAGAAATTTAAAAAGTATACAATAGGCAGGAAATAATTTTTGAAGTACTAGCTTATACTTTCAGGAATAGTAATTAATACATTTATATGAGTAAAAAGAATGTTACTCTGCATTTTCAGCTTTATTGATATATAAGTTGTTTACTATAAGCAAACTTTAGATATATATTTTGACAATGCCATTCTTTAAAAATGGCATCAGGATTTTGTTGGAAATTATTTTGCAATTAAATACTTAGAGTTAGAATCCATATCTTAGTATCAGACAGTGCCGGGAAAGCTTTAGCTAAGTAATAAATATTACATCAATAATGATTACTAAGAACCTACAATGTTAAAGCTGCTGAGATTATGACAAGATCACCTCTTAGTGAAAGGCCACAGTAAAAACAAAAACGACAGAGAGCTTGCATGTAGTTGCAAACCTTAAAAAGTCTTTCTGTACTTCTTTATCCCAGCTCCAGACTCAAGCAATCACATTCAAAATTTTGAGATCTCTGAGGTGCCCCTTGGTGAGTATATTATTTTTTCTCTCCCTCTCTCTCTAGAGGATACAGTAATGTTTATTCCTAAAATACTAAAATTTCCCCTGAAAATTAAATAAAATATATTGGGAAGTGATGACATTATTTTGTCTGAAAGTGATGTTTCCTTGAAATCTATATATTTCGTAAATCATATACATGAAACTAATCTTTGAGTTCATACTGGATATTTTCTGTAAGAAATTTTTGCACACAAGCTGATGAATAAATACCATTTAATCATATGGGAAATTTAAATCTTAGTTTTGGTACATTAAAAAAAAAAAAAAGAAAATGTGCAAAGAAGAAAGACTTCTTAATCCCAGACATTAATGAGTCACTAAGGTGCCCATTCAACTATGGTCTGGGCCAGCTCATTTATTCTACTGAGAGTCTTGCAAGGTGTTATGGCCTTTGTCCTTCATGGCATTCAGGGTATTCCAATTCCATAGATTTGCATCTCTTCATTTTGCAGCTCTAGAAGGTGGGCTTAGAGGTGCAATGAACTGGGCTGTAGCTCACTTGGTCAGATGGGGCTATTTCTGGGCTTTTGATGTTTCTGAATTCTATAGTCTATCATTTTAATTAAGAAAAAGAAACATGATAACCCACTAATTTGAAACTGCATCTCCTTTAGATGAGAGAGTATCTCTGAGTATCCAATACTTTTATCTTGTTTCTTTCTTTTTTTTGGTACCAGGGAATAAATTTGAGACTTTGTGCTTTCGAGACTGGCAGCAGCACCACTGAGCTAAATCCCCAGCCCACTTTTATGGTGTTTCTAAAGGACACTACTCTTGTCCAGATTCGCTAATGATGTAGTAAGAGAAAATAGGCAACAGAGAGGTGTGAGACAGGTATAGGAATAGGGGAATAGGAATCGCTCACAGGCTCTCCAAGCTTCCCCCTCACTTGCTGTTACTGCTATGACTCCTCAAAGGGTCTTCATCCTGGTTTTCCATTTTCTGCTAAATTCCTCTTTGGCATTAGTGATAATTTGCTTTTGGGAAACCACACTATCTTTATCCTCCATGAGAAAACAACACAGTACATTGAACTTCCTCCTCTCCCCATCTCCTGTGATATTTGCAGTCTGGCAGTGGTGAGAGATTTCACATTCACGAGAGCCCTGACACATCTTACTCCGCAGCAGCCTGCTGGTGGCCACGCATTTGAGTGGTAATGATCCTCAGGAGAAGGTCATTGTCAGAATCCCCATGACCCACTGTGAATTGTGACCCTCAGTGAGCTGCCTCTAGGTCAGGTTACAGGGCATACATAGACCAAGCAAAGGCCTGTATGTCACTGAGATAACCGTTCCTTCCCTAACTGCAAATTTTGTGCTTAACGTCATATGGATTATATTTTTCCTTCTGATTACAACTTATATTTAACTCATGTTTGCTCATTTTAATAGATTTGGGGAAAGTTAAATTTGATAATTTTCCTAGCTCTGGTCATTTAACTGTGTAAGTTTTTATTCATTGTTTTAAAACAAAAATACTAGTACAAAGTAAACAAATCATAACACTAACGTTTGGTAAATTTTCACAAAGTTAATACCATTTGCCCGGGTCAAGAAAATGATTTTAACTGAATTCACACTTCTGTAAGCCCCTCCTATCAGGATCCCACATCCCTCCCCCAAATAGCCACCATCTTACTTGAGTAGTTTTGATCGTGTTGAACTCTGTAAAAATAGCAACATACTGTATGTATTTGATGAGTAATCACATTTTTAAAGCTATGAATTAATTTATTACCTTTCTCAGCATAAATGTAATAGTATAACATAAATTATGATATGCATAACCAGTCATGGCTTTTAAATCCTCTGAGAATAAAAGGAGATGGCAGTATATTATTTTGATTAAACTTTTAAAAATAGTTCACAAAGTGCTGAAACTAAAATTCAGTTCTATGATGTCATATAATTATTTTCTTTCTCAAGAACAGTCTGTTGTAGAAAAATTCCACGATGCCATATGAACTTAAGCGTGTAACTTGATGTTCGCCATGCCACACTGAGATAATAAATAACAAATGGCTTCTTGTGGAGAAAGGATAAACTTTGTAACTATTAACACAGAGTTAATAACGAAGATGAAGTCCAGGATGTCACACTGTTCCTTTTCATTCCCTCATTTGTTAGACTGAATTAATTTGTGTTACTTTGGAAGAAAAGACTAGGATTGATGGTGGGGAAAAAAAGTATAAAAAAGCAAGCTTTTTTTTTGCTTTCTGAAGAAGAGATTTATTACACATAATCATTACACAAGAAATGATTATCTGAAAGAAGCAATCAACCCATCATTAACAGCAGAGGCAGATTTACTTGGCCTTTCAGGGACTGAAAGAATTTTAGCCACAGCTTTAAGATCTGCAAAATATTTTGAAAGGATGTTACTATAAGCATACACGTGTGAAGTCTCTACATGGTTTCTATGTGTCAGGAAATTGCAAATGGCTATGTTGGGTGGTTCTGGCTTCGGGGTCTTAGGAGGACAAAGGCAAGCAGAGGCTGGGGTTGGGAATCATCTCTAAGGCCTGTGAGCTCAGGGTCTATGTCAGGGGCCTGGGAGATGTAAAAGGCTTGTCCTGAAAGCCTTGCATGACTAACAGAAGCTGCAAGGAGCAAAGCCTGCTCATGGGCAGAATCAAGGAAAACCCAAAAACATCAGGAGAGGAAGAACAGAAGTTCTAGTGGACTTTTAAACCTCTGTCACCTTCAAATGCAACAACTGTTACATGCAGCCCAACTCTCAGCCAGGTTAAACATAAACCTTACATTATAGGCGTTTATTGAAGTTTCTATAATCCAAGACATCATGGCAAACTTTCAACAGCATTAGAAAGTTTACAAGACCTCGTATAAGGCAATAAGAAAAGAGAATCTGAAGGAAATATAAAAGCATGAGAAATAGATTTAAATATGATATAAATGTTATAATTGTCAGACCTGGAATTTAAAGTCATTATAATTAATATACTAAGGGTTCTAATGGAAAAAGTAGACAATATGTAGGAATGGATAAGTAGTAGTCTAAGCAGAGGGACAAAAGTCTAGGAAGCAGGGCTGGGGGTCTAACTCAGTGGGAGAGCACTTGCCTAACTTGCATAAGGTCCTAGGCTCAATCCTTGGAACTGCAAAAATTTTTGAAATATCTCTACAAATTTAAGAAAGTATCCAAAAGAAATGATACAAATCCAAACAGCTGTAACAGAAATCATTAAATGTCTTCAATAGGATCATCAGTAGACTGGCCATGGTCAAGGTAAGGATTAGTGAATTTCAAAATACCCCAGTGTAGGGCTGGAGATTTAGCAGAGTGGCACCACATCTACCTTGCAAGTGCAAGGTCCTGAGTTCAGTCCCCAGTACAAAAAAAGATACTCCAGTGAACACTTCCAAATTTTAAAGGAGAAGAAAAAGCTTAGATTAAATGGGCATACAAAAACTGGAGACAACTTTGAGTGATGTAACATGTATGATTGGAATTCCAGAACCAAATAAAACAGAGCAGGAGTGATATTTGAAGTGTTACAAACCAGGCATTTCACAAAATAAACAAGAAACATGAAACCATAAACTCAAGAAGTTCAGAGAATACAAAGTGGGATAAATATGAAAACAGTAATGATAAAATTCACACCTGGCTTATCATATTTACAGTGCAGAAAATTAAAGCGAGAAATCAAAATCTTTAAAATTCAATTGGAAATATAAAGAAAAAACTGAAACTAAAGCTAGCCAAGTTAAGGGGTGGGGGGGACACTTACCTTCGCAGAAACTAAAGTCTAACCAAAATCGTCTATTGTTCAGATTAGACATTTCAGTTAAAACTAAGAAAGGTGTGGAGGGAAAATACATTTCTAAAATAAAAAAAACAGAATAAAACACCAATGTATAATTCTTCATTCATAAAAAGGGAAGGAGAAATAAAGATTCTCAGAAAACAGCCAAGAGAAGATATTATAGATAGATGAGCTAGGTAAAAATATTATAGGCAGGCAGATAGGGCTAAGTCCTGGAGAGGGCCAGGACAAAGGTGAAACACA